TTACTACTCCCTTCCAATATTTATCCACACAAAAAATAAAATGAGAAATGATACAATTAGTCAGTATCACCAGAAAGAAACATTACTATAGTTCTAATACGAATAAAAATATAATATCAGGAAATTATGAAATATTTTATGCCATACTTTTGAAAGTATAGATTGAATGAAAAAATTTCTAAGAAAAAATACAGTTTAACAAAATGGACATGTTAATACATACATAACTATACTATATTAAATACACTGAATCCATACTTAGTAACTTCTTCAAAGAAAACTTTAAGCCCAAGTGGTTATACTAGTGAATTCTACCATATATAAATGGAAGATATAAAATTAATATTATGTAAACTCTCTGTAGAATATAAGGACAGCATAATCTTGATAGCAAAATTTTATAAGACCAGTATAAAACAGGAAATATGAAGGCCAGTCTTTATTCCTTAAAATGTAGAAAAGTGAACCCTGTGTTTTATAATCAAGACATACATTATAAAAAAAGTTATAATTATTCCAGAAATACACTCAAATATTTAAAAAAACAGTGAACATAATTCATCACAATTAAGAGAAAAAAAAGGGAGAACATGATATTTGATAATCTCAACCCAAAAGATGAATGAAGTAAGAGGATTAACTCTACATGTACAAGCATGTTTATAACAGCAATATTCATAATAGTACCAAATGTATGCTAAATCTAGAACAAATAATTTTTGAAATATCAATATAATGATACATCTTGAAAATGAACAAACTACTATTAAATTCAATGACAAAAATTAATATTGAAAACAATGTTGAATTAAGATGGAGGGGACATACAAATGTGTATTTGTGTTGCTAATATTTCTAGGAATTCATAATAGTAATATTCCGCCATTTGACCTATGTAGTGATCACTTGAGTATCTTCACAATATGGTATTTCATAGAGCTTTATTCTTTACCTTCTTCATTATACATGTTATAATTCAATTAAAAGTTTATATAAATATTTGGAAGACAGAATATCACATAGTTAAGATATAGAATGGCATTGATAGGTGAATGTTACTTAGGTATCTTATAATATGTGTACTATCATCTCTGAAAGGATTATAATAAAATGTACTTACTTGGTAGCTAAATAGATAAATTGATTAGGTAAGGATTTACCAACTCTTTTCTGTAAAGAGCTAGGTAGTAAATATTTTGGGCTCTTTGGGCCTTAGGGTCTTAGTTGCAGCTATTCAACTCTGCTGTGAAAGAGCCATAGGTTATGAGTAAAGAAATCGGTGACTCTGCTCCAGTTAGACTTTACTACTTACAAAGTGGTGGAAAGGCAACATTTGGCCTATATTCCATAGGTTTCAGTCCCTGGATTAGATGATTAAACAGGTGTATAAAGTGAGACATGCATATCTACATGTTAAAGTACTGTTGAAGTATTTTTTATCTCATCTTTCTAAAATATAGGCACATGAAAATTAATACTTGGAGTTGCCTAATTAAGTTATATTTGATTTATTAATTTTTAAAAAGTTTACATGCTTTGTATCTTAGTATGATTTATATTGCTATAAATACTCATTGCAGTATTACTATTTTTAACCATAAACATGTATTATACATCAGATTCAGAATTTCTTCCCTTAATCTTTGAAGATATGTTCCAAGAACCCCAGTGGGTTCCTGGAACCATAGACTGTACTGAAATATATATATAATCTTCTCTTATATGTAAACTAGTAGCCCGGTGCATGAAATTCGTGCACTGGGGTAGGGGGGGAGGAAAGGGGCCCCTCAGTTTGGCCTTCACCCTCCCCAATCTGAGACCCCTCAGGGAATGTCCAACTACCTGTTTGTGC